TCTTTTGCCACTGAAGTTTAAGAACCACTGATATATCTATATAAACTATTTTAAAAATGGGGAATCTGAGGCACAGAGGGATTGAGACACATATCGAGTTAGTGAAAAAGCCATTTTTGAACCTAGGCCTTTTGTCTCCTGGTCTCTTCTTGCTGTTCCCCATGCCCCTTAATTCATTAACAAAAACATTATGTTCCCATAGTTTTCAGGATAGAATCCAAACCCCTCTTAAGATCAGGCCACTGCCTGTCTGAGCAGCCTCACCTCTGCCTACTGTTCTGCCCGCCTTCACTCATTTTTCCAGGCTCATAGAAGGACTCACAGTTTGTTGAATGGACAGGTAATGCAGACTTAATCCTCTGGCCTTTGCAAACGCTACTTCCTTTTCCTGGAATGCCCTTCTTCCACCTGGCAAGCTCCCCCTCATCCTCAAGACAGTTCTGGGCAATTCCTCCCTAAGCTGCATGACACTTGTCCCATCTTTTCTGCCATATGAGCCTGTGTGTGTGTGTGTGTTTCTCATAGCTCTCACTACACTGAGGTGCTCAGTGGTGTGCTCCTGGGCAGGTGGATGGACGAGGGCTCTTGTGTGCTCATTTCCTGAAGCTGCATGAAATACTGAAGTGCGGCTGTATTGAATACATACAGAAAATAGTACATACTGTTAACTGTTATCCATGTGGAGCCTAGGATCTGACTGCGGAGTCAGAGGGGAATTTTAACACAAAGTATTACAAGAGGTGTTATAAGATAATAAATAATTAACTGGTAAATGACAGGCAGGACAGGCATCCAGGGCAGAGATGAGAGGAAAGAACTTCCTGAAAGAGGAGGCCTCAAATTGGGCTTTGAAGAACAGGTAGGGTTTGGAGAGGAAGGAGGGTTGTCCAGGCTGCAGAAGGAAATGAAGGGCCTTGCCCTCCCCAGGGGAGGTGTCGTGACCCAGCACAGGGAGTCTGCCTCTTGCCCTGTCCGCTGGCTGAAGACAAACACAAGAGGCAGAGACCACGACACCTGCAAAGGTTGAGGAGGTGGGAGGATGGCTGTTTTCAGGTTGTAGTGAGGATTTAATAATTCAGTAGATAAAAAAACACCTTGGTGGGGAGGAAGCTGAGAGCCAGAGGCTTCCCAGAAACTCTTGATAAGAGTTTAGCTTAGTTTAGCTGGGTTACTATGAGGCTTATGCCTGCGGGTACTGACAGAAGCTATGCGGTGTGGAGGATAGAGCTAGGCAGGCTTGGGGTCTAGGCCTCATCCACCACCAGATAGTGGTGTGGGTTGAACAGGCTACCCACCCTCTTTACTTCTCTCTACCTCTGTCTCCTCGTCTCTTCAATAGAGCCAATAGTACTCGACCTATCTGTCCTAGGTTGTCATGAGATAGGGAAATAATTGCATTGATGTGCTCTAAACCATAAAATGCTGCACAAATGTAAGAGGTTTTCCTCGTGTTCATCAGATCAGTCGTGGAGGTTCCCTCTCATGGAGACACTCACATCTTTAGAGGCAAAGCCACTGCTAGACAGTCTGACAAGATGACACGAGTTCCTGGGAGCAGCTGGAAAGGCTAAGACTGAGGGATAGGCACTCAGAGCTAGGGTTGCCTCCTCTGCACAAGGCATTGGGAATAAGACTTCTGTTATCCAGAAACCACCCATCTTTCCTCATATACCTTTTCTAAAAGTCTCCCCTAATAGACTTAGCAATATGAGGATAAAAGCCATGTTTGATTCATTTCAGTGTTCCCAGGGCTAACCCAAAGGAAAAAGCAACATTAGTAAATGCTTGTGATAATGTTTTAAAAAACCTGTTATCAGATTTGATTATTATGATGATTAAATATTTACTATTCTTCAAATAATTGCTTATCATGGCCATTTTACAGATAGAAGAATTTAGTAAGTGGAGAGCTACAGTTCAGGGCTGTGTGACTCCTTTACCTTAAATCATTGTTTCACATTGTGGAAGGCAGTGCCTTTTGCAGTTTTAGCACACTGGGGAGTGGCCAGGGCTATATGAAGGGCTTCAGGTACTACTTTCACCTCTGCTGCCTCCTTGGCACTTCTGAGTCCAGGGAATCCTACAGAATATATGGGCATATAGCTGCCATGGCACTCAGTCTGACCCTGGCCGTGGCACCCATGCATAGACTTAGCAATGTCAAAAGGCAGAGGTGGGAGCAGAAAGATGACAGAATGATGCTTTGTCATCCTCCCTGTGGCTAGTGGGGTGAAGAGACAGGAAGGGCTTGGGAGGGGAAGCAGGAGCCTGAGCCCATCTCACCCTATTCTGGAGACAGATGTCTTTGTTGGGAAGAGGACAGTTCACTGGCTGAGTGAAGGTGACTAGCTGTAAACATGGGGTCTCAAAACCCCCCTTGGAGGCCAGCTGGTGCGCTGGTCTTGGATTAGTCACTAGCATCCATGGATTTCCTTATTCTTCCTCAGTGAGAGTGGGTAAGTCTATGTCCCCTCACACCTCCTTTCCACCTTTAGTCACTTTTTTTGGATAGAGAAGAGTGTGAGATCTAATGATCTGGGGGCTTCAGCAAAAAGATTTGGGACAGGGCTTCTTAAACAGGGTTTTGTGTGGAAAAAGCTTACTGCTACGACCTTGAGCTGTGACTAGCTGAACTGGACTGGGCCCCAGCTCTACCACTGACCGATTGTGCTGCCCTTCTGAACTTCAGTGTCCTCATCTGTAAAATGAGGGGAGTCATTCTGAAATAAATAAGTAAATGAAAATACTTTGCAGACTATAACACACTACTCAGTTCCGAAGAGTGTTCTGTGGAACACCCACACTATAGGATTTTAACAAGGGCTAGGTGGAAAAAGGCTGTCAGACAAGAGACTGCTGAGTAACCCACATTAAACAGATGGTTCTTACTCAGCACTGTGCCACTGAGGGGCAGGGGAAGTAGGCATGATCCCCAAAGGGAAATAGTATTCACTGAGAGAATGTGCTTTTGGAAACATAAGTAAGGGTAATAGCTGGCATGTACTGAGAGGTGGGGTAGGCCAGGCACTGGGCCAGCCCCTTTGCTCATAGTGTCTCATTAACTCCTACAACATCAATGAGAGGGTACTGCTTTATCATCTCCATTTCAGGTAAAGAAACTTGGCACTGAGAGGTTAGGTAAATTACCCAAGATTATATAGTAAATTCATAATGAAATCCAGACAAGTGTTCTGGTCCTGGAGCTCATTTATTTAACAGCCATAATCTACTAATGCCACTAAATACTTATGACTAGAATTACTTTTATTATTATTCCAAAATAAGGTAATGTTATGGTCTTATCTACATATTATATATTTATTTGCTGACTCAGCAAGTATTTGTCAAGCACATAGTTATGACCTGACACCATACTTGGCAGTGGAAATACAACTATGGAGAAGGCAGCCACACTTCCTGTCCTCATGGAGCATTTGGCCTGTAGGGAACATAGTCAAGTAAACAGGTGATTGTGATAATAAGTACAGTAATTGGAAGATGCCTCAGGTGCTAGGGGAGCTCTTAGGAGGAACATCTACCTCTAAGGAAGTATCACTGGAGGAGGTGACTTATCAGAGGCCTAAAAATGAACTGAAGTTAGCCAACTGAAGGCACAGGAGAGGGGAAAAGGTCTCAGGCAGTGGCATAGTATTTGCAAAAACTCAGAGGCAAGAAAGAGCATTAGGAAGGGCATGGTTACAAATGAGACCTCAGAGGTGAGCAGGGGCCTTCCTCATGGACATTCCTTATTAGCTGGGCTGTGATGCTGGCACTGTGTTGACATTTGTTCCTGAACTGAATAGCCTCAGATGTGTTCTTTGAGTTCATCTGCTTTTTATGGTAAGCACCGTTTTTATGGTTAGCATCATTGCGTTCATGAAACTACTACAGTTTGTCTGCTCAGTGTCTGATTCTTGCAATAGACCATTAATTTTTTAAAATCAAGAACTGTGTTTATTCATTAGTGTATCTCTAGAAGCTACCACTACACACTGGTGCTCATTAAATGCTTTTTGTTAAATGAATGATGTGTTTTCTTTGTAAAATGGATTACATCCTTCCTGCTTTCCTGAGCCAACTACCACTTTTCCTCAGGTTCATCATTATGTTGGATTGAGCCTGGGGATTTTTGGTTTTTTGACCACACAAAATGTTTTTGCTTCTTGCCTTCAAAAAAGTATTCTCAGTACATTTATTAAGGATAAAAACAGATTATAAAATTGTGATGTGGTAAGTTCCAGTTTTTTAGGATGTATATGTATGTATGTATGTATGTATATATATATATTTTGTAGAATATATTTCTAGAAGGACATACTCCAAAATAGTAAATGCAGTTTCTCAAGCTGCTGAGATATCGATGCTCTTTTTCCTTTGTACTTTTCTGTTGTTTCAAAACTTTAATAGCTTTTATAAATTAAAAAAGTTATTTACAAAATAATATTAAGTACTCACTAGATTGTAAACATCTTCAGAGTAGGGATGTGTGCTGCTTTTCTTCTAAGAACAGCCTCTGCCTCCTACTTGACTCATCCCCTATCTTACTCAGCCTTTTCTTCACCTGGATAACTCCTCTTCACCCTTCAAGACTCCTGTCTTCTGGGATCCTCTCTTCATGCCCAAACTGAGCTAAGCTCCCCTCTGGCTTTTTATGTCATCCTATTATACCTCTAACATAGCACTTATCTCGGACAGTACTGTAAACATCTGTTTCTTGTCTGCCTCCTTTGTCAGATTAGGTAAGGACCATATCTGATTTATTTCTATGTCCCCAGATAAGTCCTAACACATAATAGTTGTCAGTAAACATTTGTGGAGCTAACTGACCTCTGATTTTACCTCCTCTTGCCCAGCACAGATGGCCAGGCACATAGTAAGTACATTATATGTTTAGTAAGTAGGTAGATGAGTGAGGGAGGAAATTAAAATGCCAAGAGAAAGAAGGTGGGACTGGTGGCTCATTTGTTGCTAATAGAAGGGTTTGTGTTCCTGTCTCCCAGTCCTGGTTACCCGAGAAGATGACTTCAACAATCGGCTGAACAACCGCGCCAGCTTCAAGGGCTGCACAGCCCTGCATTACGCCGTCCTTGCCGATGACTACCGCACTGTCAAGGAGCTGCTTGATGGAGGTGAGAGTGGGGATGAGTGGGGCGGGGGATTGACAGGGAGACGGCACTTGGCAGCCTCTCACTGTGGGAAAGCCATGCTTCCCCAGAGCCCTGTTACCCTCCCAGAGCAGGGAATCCTTCATGAGAGTGGCAGTGCACATGTGTGGTAGGCCCTTGTGTGGCTGGAGTGTGTTCTTTACCTATGTGTGTGTAATGCACCACGCTATCCTGCCTGTCTGTGCTCTGCACATGCTCTGGGAGGTTTCTTGATTGTTACTCTCCCTGGAAGTGGCCTCTCTTCTCTCCTGTGACTTCCAGAGCAGGGCTGATGAATCAAGGGGGAGGCCCTTCAAACCCCTACTAAGCCAGGTCTCAAAAGCATCTCCCTTAATCCCACTTCCCCACCCCAATCTAAATTAGACACCTTCCATTACTCTAGGTCATGGCACCCTGTTCTTTTCTGTCATCACACTTGTCACAGTCTGGAATTATTTTTATGTGTTCAGTAGCTTTCTCCCTAACTTGACTTTGAGCTCATGAAGGCAAGAACCATGGCTGATTTGTTCCCAGCACCTAACATAGTACCTGGCACACAATAAGCACTCAATAAACTTTTGTTGAATGATTGAATACTCTCTCTTTGAAGAGCATCAATTTAGTTAGAAGGACAATATGTGCCATCCCCAGACTTAGGCTGGTCTGGTCCTGTCCAGATCAGTGCAGAGTTATCTGTCACCTGCCAGATGCCTCTCAAGCAGTCTCTTTCCCTCTCACTTCCTGTTGTCCCACTCCAGTCTCTCTTTGGGATAGAGAAGGAAGCATCTTGCTAGGATGTGTGGCAGCCAGGCCCCTGAGTGAGTATGGCATATGACTCCTGTTAGTGCCCTCACTGCCACTTCTTGAGGGCCTAAGGACCCTTTCTTGTGCCTGGATGCCAAGGTCCTCCTTGTCAGTGGTCATTCTTCATAGAACCTAGGAGCTGGAAGGCTCCTCAGAGGTCTTCTTGGTCACCCTGGTGCCTGGCCCCTTTCCTCCTGGCAGAAACCTCTCTAACAGCTGACTGCCTGGCATTTTCTTGGATCCTGGCAGGGACTGAGGGAACCCCACTTCCTCCCTGAGAGTCTATTCCATTTTAGTTCTTCTCTGACTGGTTTAAATACCTTATCTTAAATGAGCTGTGATTTTCTTCTCTGTAACTTCTGCCAACTTCTGTCCTCTGCGGCCCAATAACTTTTTTCAAAATCCGTTCTTCAGAGGAAGTTCTTTTAGCCCCAGAGCCTTTGCCTCCCTGGACCATCATGTCCAGATCATCTTATAGTCCTTGTCATGTGATTGGTCGGGATGGATTTCCCATTAACTCCCAAATCCTGCCACCTGCCATCAGCCACAGCCACACTGGCTTAACACCCGGGCCTGGCACATACCCCTAGCCTACCAGGGACCTGCTCCAGGGCAGCCAGGGTGTGCCTTGGTCTATAGCACATAACACCAGGAGGGGCAGGACTGCTCATGGATGTGGTGACAGTACCTGGGATAACTGGTGCTTGCAGAGCAAGAGCTCACTACTCACAGAAACAGACTTAGAAAACGCCCCTAAGCAAGCCACTCACTTTGTCCTTTAGAAAGCTCTCTGGTGAGACATTTGTAGCTAAGAATTGGAACATTCACTGTGGGACTTCTCTCTGCCATGCCTTAAAAATCAATCAATACCCCCAGCTTTTGTCCTTTGGTTTACATTCCCTGCTTCCCTCAGCCGCCAAACATATAGGGAGTTCACTCTAAAAAGAGACCCTCTCCCAGCCTTACAGATTGAACACCTTTGAAATGAAGAGGCACAGGCCTTTTATGAAATGCTCCCCATCCTTACCCTGCAGGCCAAGACTGGCCATTTGAGCCATTCCAGGGGCATGGTTCCTGCCTGTTGACTTGAACAGATGCCCTTAGCCCCCACCTTTATAGTTCGCCCACCTGCTTTTTTATCCAGCATCCATTTACACCCCTACCCTAGCCTCCCAGCCTCAAGGGCCAAAACCATTAGCCTACTTATTTCTCCCTTCCCGACCTGAACAAGTGGCCATCACTCAGGGCCTGCAGGCCTGCCAACTTCCGACCTCCCTCCCCCCTTGACCTCTCTTGATCTGCCTGTGTGTGTGACCAGCCAACCGAGAGGCAGGATCCTGCTCCCTTGTCCTAGGGGCTATTACCAGTAACATTTTCAAAGTCTTCTGACCTCAGCTGACCTCCTCCAGAGAGTTTCAGGGAAGGCAGGGGGGCCTGCTTTTATTTGCCACCAGCTTTGCTGCAGCATCTTAAAGGGGGGCTGTGAGATCCAAGGCAGTGCTAGACACAGGCCAGCCTGTGCTTAAGAGGCCCACACAGAACCCTTGTTCTTAAAATTGCCTAGTCCACAGGGATTTGGGGTATCCAGATCTTAAAGGGTCAGAATTAGAGGGGCAGTGGCTCTTGCCCTCTAATCAGCAGGTCCCCAGGTGAGTACTGGGAAGGGGGTCCAAGCAGCAGCATCAGTCTGATACTGTGGGGAGTTCCCTGACCCCTCAGGCAGCAGCATGGAGTAATAGAAAGGATGCCTCAGGCGTCCAAGTTAGGCCACCCTGGGTTTGAATCCCAGCTCCCCCATCTACTAGCTATATTGCCTTGAAGATGCTACCTTAACTCACTCAGCCTGTTTTCTTGTCTGTAAAATAACACCTGGCAAGTATCACAGGGATAGTGTGAGGATTAGAGGAAATGTCTATAAAAGCCTCTGGTACATGGTGCATGCTCCATGATTGTGGAAAGAAATCAAACTCTTACCCTGGCAGCTATAATCCCATCCCTTCCCAGATGCAACCCGTGCTCCTGCCCAAAGCCTTCTAAATTCTGATTCTGCCCGCAACTTTCCCACCCTGCTGAAACGCCGTCTCTTCTCACCTAGATCTTCATACTCATCAAGGCCTCCCCCTCTTAGGAAACCTCTCCCTGTAGTCTGGTCCACTCTGATATCACCATCTCTGAACTCTTACAGTGTTGGGCTGGGCACTTAGCACAGAAAGGTCACTTCATCTTCAGGAGGCCCAGTAGCATAAAGAAAAGAACACAAGCTTGGGGGCCAGACAGACCTGCGTTTAAATCTCAGCTTTGTAATGCGAGTCTGGGCAAGCCAGTTGCTTGTCTCTGAGACCGCAGGGCCTCCCAAGATGAATCACACAATGTGTCCCTGACCCAGAGAGACTGTCAGACTGGTGAGGGAGACAGATATGAAAACAGGCAGGGACAGCTGGGTGGGTGCTCTGGCAGGGCCTGGACAGGGGACTCTGGGATATAGAGGAGGAAACACCTACATCTGCCTGGTGAACAGGAATATGGAATCAGTTACAGAAGCTTTCCAGAGGAGGGAGTGCTTAAGCCTTACCTGGAAGGGTACTGGGAGTTCACCAGATAATTTCTGTGGAAGGTTTCTGAATTCACTGGCAGCAGTTTTGTATCCCTGACCTCCATAGAAAAGTCAGTACAGGCCCCTATTATTTTCATTTCTGAAGATGGCTGCTTCTGCCCATGTTGCTGGCTTATGAGCAGGAAGGCTTTGCTTCAGCTATTCTCTGTCAAGTACAAGAGAAGATTGGAGGTGGGAGACCGGACAACTGGGAAAAGGAGTAATCAAGGAAGTGGAAACCACCTCCCTCAAGCCTCTACCAGCCTCATCCCAATTACTCCTAGGACTGTTAAGGTGCTTTTGCAGCTCTTTCCTCCCAGGGATGTGATCCTACTGCCAGATCCATCATCCTAAAACATATCTCTAATCATGGCAGCCTTTCTTAACCAGGGTTCCTCCAGAGAATTAAGCCCTAATATTCTAAGGTGTCCATTATACACAAGGAATTAACTTCTCTCCCAGGCATAGAACTTGTTACCAGGTATGCCATTCTTGGGAGAACTAAGAAAATTATTACTGAAATAGATCCCTGTATGTGGTTCAAAGGAGGAACCCCAGTTGAGAAAGGCTTCAAGGGAAGAGTGTGAACTGTGGAGTCAGGATCTGAACATCTGCCCTGCCACTTAGTAGCTGCGAGGTCCTGGGAGCTGCTGACTGCTCTGTGGTTCTTTTTCCTCATCTGGAGATGCCAGTGTGCCATGTACCTTCTGAGGTTTTGTCAGGATTAGGACCTGTGTAGATATATCAAGTAGGCACTTGATATATAATATCTGTTTTAGCTTCAAAAACACACAATGCTCACTTGTTAAAATCAGTAAAAAATAAAGAATCCTACCCATCCTAACTTTTTAACCTGGTTTGAGAGTTGTCCTAGTCTGACCCTCACCTGTTTTTTCCTCTCCTGCCCTAATATCCAGCCACACTGTAGTGTCAATTCAGTGTTCCCACCTTAGTGCCTTTACTTAAGCAGGCCTTTCTGCCTCTATTTTTCCTTTAAGTCTTGGTTTCTCAGCCTGGTGGAATTCTTTTTGCCAGTCAGTTCCCAGCTCTAATACCACCTCCCTTCTGAAGTCTTCCCTTTGGGATTTGGCTTCAGTCCTTCCTACCAGACTGAGGCAGATGGAGGGGCAAGGACTATGCCTTATTTATCCTTCCTCCTTTGCCACAATGCTCAGCACATAGTTTAGTGTGTGTTTGGATGTGCTGATAAATCTCCAAAGCCACTGTAGGTTTTCTACCACTTGGAGGTGTGGTATCTTTCCTTCCTGTCCTGCTCATTCTTAGTGCCGTAGTGTATCTGCCTTTTTTGAGCTTCACATGTGAGCCATCTCTTTGCAAATTTCCTTTTCCTCACAATCACAGTGCCACTGTCCCCAGCGATCATCACCTCACAAACACTGTGGGCTCTAAGAAACCAATAGCGCTTTCCCCAGAGCTTCCCTCAGCATCTTTCCTGCCTTCTTCCATGGCTTCTCCTGGCTTCCCTCCAAGTACATGGCCCAGGTGTCAGTGTTAACCAGCCATCATCAAATGAGTCCTTAAGTTCCTCATTATCCCCACCTGCAGTAAAGAGCCTTTCCAGTGCTGA